CCAAAAAGATTGTCTGCCAGATTTAATTTGGAGAAAGAGAAGTCAAAGAGAATTGAAAGTGTTCAGCCTAAGCAACGGCTGAGAAGATAGAGTTTCCAGCGACTCAGATAGGAAACATTGTAGAAGGAGTAGTTTACAGGGGCTGAGGAGGTGATGAGCAATCAGAAGTTCAGTTGTGAACACATTGGTTCTTAGATGTTAATAGACCATTTACGTCAGCTTACTGTTTATATTACAAGTTAAATGCTTATGTCCAGTTGGAAGGCTGGAAAATCTTTTAAACCCTTCGGCACTTGCCCTCATGAGGAGATCACTGAAGATATGGGTGCTGTATTACAGTATGGTGAAGAAATAGGATGGTGCTCTGCTATTGAAAAAAAAAAATGTCTCAGGTCTGAAAGGCTTGTCTCAAAACAAGCAGTTGTTTAAGTGAGGATTCATCTTCTTTCACACGGAAGAACCACATCAGTCTGTGTGGTCCATCCAAAGTTTGTAGAGTAAAATCCAAACTAAGAGGAGGCAACGGTACCAGAACCTGGATTTGAAACATCCAGTCTGAAGAATGTTATTGATATTAGTGGAAGCCCAAAAATCTATTTGCTGGGTCCCTATGCAAACGGAGTCTCTGGAAAATCATCCCTGAATGTGGTGCCTGAATGTAAACAGCTTTACTATCAGACAAAGTGCATCGAAAAGTGGATTTTAACAGCTGTAGTGAGATCGGAATGTTGTTACATTCCTTGTCATTAGACATCCCTTTTGACTCACTTTTAATTTATTTTCTTAAGATGATTTTCTGCTTTCTTTTCAATTGAGGATGTTTTCTGTTTTATTTGTCATTCTCTCTTGCACTTCATCATAGTTGCTGGGTCTTTTTTTTTTTTAATGTCTTTCTGTAGAAAGAAGCTAGGATGAGTGGGCCTATGAGGACCGCAGCCAGACCAAACACCAAACTCACTGCTGTGGACTTGATTCTGATTCATGGAGACCAGGAAGGGCAAGGGCAAATTGCCCCTGTGGGTTTTGGGGTCTGCGATTCTTTACAGGAGCAGAAAGCCTCATTTTTTCTCCTGTGAAGCCTCTGGTGGTTTTAAATGTCTGACCTTTAAGTCAGCAGCCCAAAGCATAACCAGTATATGACCAGGGCTCCGTAGGATTATGTAATCATTACCTGGGGGCGTGGCAGGAGAGGTCGGGGATAAATGGAAGTCCAAAAACATGGGTATAAAAATGAATAAATGAAAAAAAAGAATAAATGTTCTAAAGTTTATTGTAATGATGAAGGCACAAACCTTAATATGACTGAACTATTGAACTGTATATATGTTAAAAATATCTCAAACCGTTAAAAAATAGTTTTAGAGCCTTGGAAACTAGCGGGCAGTCCTACATGGCACTATAAGGTCACTTGAGTCAGAATCGAGTCAATAGCAATAGGTTTGGTTTTTACCTCTTGCTATTTTAATATGTTTGATGTACTGGTTCCATTATTTAAGTTCTTACAACAGAAAAATTTAAAAACAAACAATGAAACAGAAAACAGAGCTCTCTAAATATGCCATCCTGAGTTAGATCTCTGAGTCGACTTACATTTGGATTTTTCACAAGCATCCTACCATACTTGTCATCTTGTTTTACCATGTCACTTCTCTGGAAAGATTTCCCAGACATCCCTTCCCCACACTATCCTCCCTATATGCAAGGATCTGACATCTTATAAATATGTATCTTATATCATATATATATATACATCACTCAGCAATATGTCCGTATTGACCTAAATGTCTTCTCCATTAAATTGTGGATTTTCAAGGGCAGGACTCATGGCTTTTTCATGTTTTTATTTCCATGTATTAGCCTACAGCTTATGAGTAATGCCTGTTTGTATCAGGATTAATTCCCACAGAATTTGATCTCCCCCCCCCTTAAAACACACACAGTTTTTCTATTTTATCAACCTTCAAAGATATTATAAACATGGTTAGAAGGAAATTATAAAATGTTGAAAGTACAAAGAGACATTGACAATTAACTACAAGTTTCTTGTCTTAGAAAATGGGTTGGAACCGTGTATTGACCAATATTCTCACATACTGTTTCTAAAGACGCACTAAGGCAATGTGTTCTTTAACCTTTATGACAATCAGGAAATTCAGTGATCTTCCTGCATTACTCCAGACAATGATGTGTTCACGGGGCAGGATTTTTGCACACCACGCAGTTGTCCCAAGGTTCCATTCCTGGTCAATTCTCCTCACACACAGTCCCTACCTTTTCTGCCTGTCAACTGAGGTTCTCATATTGAAAACAGGCTGGTGACACAGGTTTCAAGGCCTGGTGATCAGTTGGACATACGGAGATGATCAGCTCCATGGTGCAGGACCAGCAGCATTGTGTTCTGTTGTGAACCTTGTACATATGAGAAGGTTGAGCCCAGGGTCAAACAGTGATGCTGAGCCTCCAGACCAACAATCCCAACTCCCTGCGATTGAGTCGGTTCTTAGCCTATGCTTTATAATTTATAATCTGTGCTTTGTGCAATTCCCCACAATAAGTACCATCAAGATCTCCCTAAAAATGGGCAGAAGCAATGAGAATAAAGGCAGTTCTGGAACCAAAAAGGCTACAATGGGAAAGGAGCAAAGACCAGTCCCCACATATGTGCTTCAGAATGAAACCTGGCACTAGCTGTTGGCAGCATTTAACAGAACGCCTTGCCAACAATCTCTCACACCCAGGATTTGATTTGTATCCTGATGTATGACACTCAACTTCAACAATAATAGGACATCCAAGGAAAAGGAAGAAAAGTGGAATAATCTCATTTTTCTTTCATCCTTTCCCCAACATGCCGCAGTGGGAGGCAGCTGAATGACTAAGAGAAAGCTCCACAGGAAGGAGCCGGCTCCATCTGAGTATGAATGCCGCATACACTCTTTATCAGAGAATGTAAGGGGCACCAGCTTTGTGTGGATGGAAGCCCAGGTTGGGATCACCTTTTGGACTTCTACTGAGCACAGGTGCACAGGTCAGGCGGTACAAAGTGAGAGACTCGGTGACCATTTACCTTCTCAGTCATCTCGCTAACCAGAGATGCCAAAACAAGGCCACGTTCTAACCATGACAAATGTGGAATCCAGGCCACCAACACAAAATCATCTGGCATGTTGCAAAAAGAAAGAAAGGAAAGCATTCTGTGGAAAATTTGTTTGAATTTGATTTAAAATTAAAATCTACCAACACATCGCAGAGTAAAGAATACCAAAGCTTGTATGTACCCCTTATCCAGGATCAATCTCAATATATATATATATATGGATTTTACACACACACACACACGCATATGTAAAAAGAAGAACAAAACAAAAGTAACATTATTATCTGTTTCTCTCATGACATACAAAATCAAGGCACCCCTCTATGAAGTATAATCTGGTTTAACTGTGATAGCAACTGTAATAACACTATTCCTTATCGGTTCATATGCATTTGCTTTCTAAAACAAAAATAAACAATTTTTTTGGGCAACACATACTCTTAATTTTCTTGCATCTCCAAGTTCCATAAAGAACGATGATTTCATCTTATCCTAATCACTCCTCAATCCATTCTTTGGCTTTAATTTTACCACTGCTCCCAATAAGGGTACCAACAGAAGCAAACAAACAAACAAACAAACAAAAAACCCATCCTTTTAAAAATGGAAATATTTAATATTTGGAGCTAAAATATATGTATACTTAGATACATACAATATACTACAAAGACTAATGAATAAACAAGTAAAGATTTCAATGTGCCCAAATTCCTAAAAATAAACAGCTCATCTGTGTATCACTTATATCAAAGCAATACAAAACATGACAGATGAACCCCTCAGGACCAGTGGTGAGAGTGGCGATACCAGGAGGGGAGGTGGGGAAGGGGGAATCGATCACAAGGATCTACATATAACCTCCTCTCTGGGGAATGGGCAACAGAAGGGTGGGTGAAGGGAGACACCAGGCAGTGTAAGATAAGATATAATAATAATTTATAAATTATTAAGGGTTCATGAGGGAGGGGGGAGCGGAGAGGGAGGGGGTGGGGAAAAAGGAAAATGAGGAGCTAATTCCAGGAACCCAAGAGGAAAGGGAATTTTGAGAATGATGAGGGCAACAAATGTATAAGTGTGCTTTACACAATTGATGTATGTACGGATTGTGATGAATTGTATGAGCCCCAATAAAATGATTAAAAAAAAACACAACTACATGTAACTGAAAAAAAAGCAATACAAAACAAAATCTTTTCATTTGATGTATAACACTTTATAATGATTGTTTTTCATTCATGAAGCTAATAGTAGGTTTATCTTCTTGAAATAGTCCTGAGGCTATCAAGCCTATCCATCCTTCTCTCTCTTATATATTCCAATATTTTCTGACTACTGTCTCCAGGAAAGGTGTTCGAATAATATTGTTGTTTGCTTTATTGCACACATAATTTTTGAAGGAGTTTGTAGATTTCTTCCTTCTGATTCTTTAGGTTTCAGCTTAAAAATCACGCACTCAGAGAGGCCTTCCCAGAGCACATAATCTCCATTTGACCATTTACTTTCTAGCATTCAGCATTCCAAATGTACTCTTTTCTCACTGGACTGTGAGCTGAGACCAGATCGTTTCTTTTGGTTTACCACCAATTCCAAGTGCCTCGTTCAGAAGCCACTCAACCAAAAGTAAAAAGCAAACAGATAAGCAGGTAAATAAATGACTGCATACTGATAATGTCAGGGAAGTAGACAACTTCAAAGGAAACCATTCAACTCATTGCCATTGAGTCCGAAGCTCAGTTTCGTAACTAAAATATGAAGACTATGATGTTGAAATCAAGAGTTACCATATATTGAACTGTACCATCTCCTCTCTTTGTTATTTTCTTTTTCATCTTTGTATTTTGCAAGACTCCCATTAGAAGGACAGTAGCAGAAATAAAATAAAACAAAAACCCAGCAAACCAACCTTAATTGTCGTTGTATGTGCGCCAGGGTATTCCTTTTCTTCCAGGGTTGACCATCTTTCTATAAATTTAGATACCAAGGAATCATCATAGTCCACGATCTGAAACCCAGAGACATTTGCTCCTCCAAACTGAATTTTTAACAAGTCTCCATCCGTAAATCCCTGGATGTAAAACACATTTATGTTATACTTTCTATGGTGAATCAAATGGAAATGAAAATTTATCAGATAGCGTCCTAAGTTCTCATTTTACATATGACAAAGAACCATGGAGAGACGTTTTTGAGAGATTGTATGAAAATAGTATGGTGAGCAATAGGATTTAGAATTCATCACGAGCATTTCTTCATGACTTTATATATAAGTTTATCTTTTCAAATGTTGGGTCAGGGACATTTGGGAACTTAAGCCTTCGACAATTACTGAGTAAATTCTCAAAAAAACATGATCTTTTCCTTCTTAGAGGTACCCACGTAAACACTCCTGAAAAACTGGACAGAGAGCAAAGGAGAATTCCAAATCAAGGGTCTGAAGGGAAATCTCATCGATTTTGGTGGCACGCTTCAATTAATTTTAAATGTCAATGAAATTTCCAAGTGTTCTCTAAATTCTCAGATATTGAGGCACTCTGTAGGACTCTACACATATTACTCACTTGAAATTACGTAGGATGTAGAAATTAAGTATTTAGAAAAATATATAACAGCGCTTGAATAGAGGATGGCACATACACTTGCTTTATCTCTATTTTTCTGTTCACTGTGGTCATTTCACACCATCTCTCCTTTTCCATCACATCAGATATCAGCTCTCAAATTGATGAGCCACCTTCTGCCATTATTTCTCACTGTCCCAATATAATCTCCGTCTGGACATTTTTAAAGATCACAGCTTTCAATATGGCTCTGTGCTGTTCATCAAATGGCACAATTTACACACGGGACTCACTGTGCAGGCTGCTCCCCACACACAATGTGGTGCTGAAGAGACTAGCTACCAGGCAGCATCTATGTTAACCCTCACTGCTCCTGCCAGGAGCGATTTACAACTGCCTTCACATAGTAGAATGCTAAGTCCTCAAATACATCTTACATTTTACAGTTGCTAACCATTTCATCGCCAAATGAAACTGGATCTTGAAAGGCCAACTTTTCCCAATAGAATGTTGCTTAGAAATTTGACCTTCTATGTCTCCAATGCCGCCTCTGGTAATAACAGCGTTTATCAGTTATCAGACTGTAAATGTTTGTTTTATTATCTCTCTCCATCACGCCTATGAATAATGTCTTTTGATCAAACAATTTGATCCCCTGGAAACCAGGAAATATATCTCCATTTGAAAGACGTCCAGTGTTTCAATGTGGCTTATAGACAAGTCCCCAGCGCCTGGGTGTGAGAAAGCCACAGCAGTCTACGCTAAAGCCGACAGCCTTGGAAACGAACAGGGTAATTTCCCGCTGTCCTCTGGAGAAGCTGAGTCAGAATTGACTGGGTAGCAGTGAGTTTGATTTCGTTTGGGTTTGGATTTGGGTCCGGATGAGTTGGAATCTACTCCATCACAGAGGGCTAGTTTCATTTGATGGAGTGTGGGGCTGGGAAAACTGCCCAACCATCTAAGATCTTCATTACTTAAGAAACTAAAATATTACACCAATAAAGACTTAGTCTCTGGTTTTCTTTCTGATGTAAAACTACTTCAAGAAATATAATAGCTGATGACGATTCGAAATTGATCCTGATGGTAATTAGATCTCTCACCGTCCTTGAGTGGATGTCAACATAGAGGGACCCTATCCTGGCAGCCAAAGGAAAAAAGCGACCATATAGAGGAACTCAGTTTTCATTTGAATTGATTATCTAAACCAACCCCAACTTACCATCGTCTTCAAGCTGATTCTGACCCATAGCCATCCTACAGAATGGAATAGAACTACTCCCGAGGAGGGTTTCGCAGGTTGTAAACCTATATTGAAGTAGATTGCCTCCCCCTGCCCATGGAGCAGGGGGATAGGGCTGCCCTTCTCCCAGTTAGCAGCCCAGTGTTTAACTCACTGCACTAACAGAACCCCTGTGGTCTCGCTGCCCCACAGCTGCTGGGTTGTTTGTGACTCAACGCAGCAATACAGGACAGAAGAGAACTGCCCTTTGCGGCTTTCGAGGGTGTAACTCTTCACAGGAGTGAAAATCTTCATCTTTCTCTCAAAAAGAACAGTTCAAAGTTTGAACTGCTGACCTCAGGGTTAGCAGCCAGTGCTTAACCCACTGCATCACCAGTGCTCCTTGCTGCTAACCTAGCAAGTAAGGAATCAAAAATAAATAATATATAAAATATCGGTATTCTAAATACCCCCAAGTTTGATTTTTAGCCAACATGTATTCTCACAGCGTACATTTATTTCAAATGTTAGATATATATTAAACATTTGAAAAAAATATGCCAAGGGCAGAGTTATTAAAATCCTTTGTCAGCGAGAAACAGAAAAATATAGCCAATTAAATGGAATGTTTTAAGATTTTTTTTCTCATTGTAAAATACAAATTCTAAGATACCTATTACAAACTCTCAAATATTTTTCTACAATTTTGTGCATCCTTTTTAAGAATGGAAAATATATTTACAATTGTAACGTTAAAATTAAATTTAAAATGCAATACGCATGAGCATAATTAAGTCATGTTATTAAAAACACCAGTGACGAACATTGGGCATTCAAAGCATCTCTTTAAATTAGCATCTCCAGCAAAGCACTGAGTTAATTCACTTACCAGATTTGCAATGATGTAATGATACCCTTTAACATGTTTTCCAATGGTGATAACCTAAAAAGGAGCAAGAGACTATTATTTAGTAAATTGAATTAATGTAAATGTACAATTGTTGATAAAATAAATGTTCACCTATTATGTTTCTGAATGTTTTACAGTTAGTCTTATTTAATAAAACATAATTTCCAAATCTAGAGACTAGAATACACAGAAAAAAGAGTAATCATCGCTTTGGTAATTTTCAAATGTTACCCCTCAAGAAATCAATCAATAAAAAATAGTCACTTAATTGTGGCCAACCAGTCAAATGAGACCACAAGATTTTCATCTTTGATTCCTCGTCATTCATTTTTCTCTAATGTTGTTATCTTAAGTATAATATTGAGCCATTCAAATTGGCACGTTTGAGCCCATTGTTGCAGCCACTGTGTCGATCCATCTTGTCAAGGGCCCTCCCCTTTTCTCCCTGCCTTTGCAATTTACCAAGTGCGATGTCCTTTCCTAGGACTGCGTTCTCTTGACAGCACAGCCAAAGTACATGAGCTGAGTCTCACCATCCTTGCCTGCAGGAACATTCTGCCTGTGCTTCTGCCAAGACAGATGTACTTGTTCTTATGGCAGTCCATGGTACTTTCAATGTGCTTCGCCAAAACCAGCCTTCAAATTCATTAATTTCCATTTGGTCTTCGTTATTCAATGTCCAGCTTTCACTTGCATATGAAGCGATTGAAAAGACCATGGTTTGGGTCAGGTGCCCCTTAGTCCTCAAAATAACATTCTTGCTTTTCGACATGATATATTAATTTATGCAACTGATCACTAATATTAGCCTAGATATGAAGTTGTTCGTATTGTTTTCCTAGGACCTATTCTAGCACTTCTCTGGTAAACATTAGATACTCATATAATTTATTGAACAAATGAATGACCCAAACCAACTCAGATGATACTTCCTACATGAACTCTTTATGAAATCTCCCTCCTCCATTCTCTTTAAACTATATTACAGTACAACTGGTGATGCTGTGATATTATATGTGTACATTCCTTTGTTCTCCTCTAAACATCCCCTATTCCAGACAGAGGATGTCATCAAAAAATATTTGTGATATGATGCAGTCATTCGTTGTCTGCATGAATTTAATATATTCAGGGACTTATACAAATAATACAGACATTACTATGTGTTTTCTGCATTTTGAACGGGTGTCATTTTGGATGTACTGCATTTGCTTCAAATTATTGTTTTCTGTATATGAGTTAAGTACAAAAGGATTGCTAAAAGTTTCTAATTAATATATTCACAGCTTTATTTATAATAGAAAGTGTGTTTAAACATGTTTCTGCAATCAGTCAATGGCTACAGACAAGTTCTCTCAGTAACAACTTGTCTTAGGTTCACTGCATGTGAGATAAGAATAAAAAGGGTCCAAACAAAACAACAGCTCCCATGTGATAGGCTGGGCTAGTTCAATTTAAGTCCGACAGATCAGCTCTGAAGGTTATGAGTGTTAATTGAGGGGATTCCTAATCTTGACAAATTTTCTTGGCAGATGCAGGAAGATCACAGGGCTTATTATAAGGAAAGTTTAAGAAACTGAGATGTGTCTCAGTAAAGAAAAGGTCAGGAGTGTTGCAACAAGGATTCGTTTTTCCATCTCAACAGTGCACCTACTCATGTTTCTGTGGTAGAAAGGGCTGGCCTATGAGAATTTTGTTTGGAAATTGTGGCAATTACATAATGTCAACTTGAGGAAGAGGTGGAGCCTGGCTTGTCAATCAGGTAACAGCTTGGTAACCTCATCTGGAGGCACAACAGACATAAATAGCTCACTGGAAGTGGGACACACTCACTCCCTGTGAGACATTACTGACAACGAGCCTAATGGAGCTACACTGATGCAGTCAGAGCCCTGGAGCTAGAGGAGCCACATGTAGACACACGCCAGCACTAGATGCCTCTACTGCCACTTGATCCACAAGACTTTCCACCCACTGGCTTCTGATCTTCCTTCCCTCGGCATTATTGCATGACTATGTGAGTCTAAAGAGGAATTGATGGACTTGTATTGGATGTTTGGGCTAATATCGGACTTATGGACTTGATGTGAACTGGGCTGGGATGTTTTCTCAATATTCAATTGCTCTTGTCTATAAAGTTCTTTCTTTCCTTCTTTCTTTTAAAAAATCTTGTTTTGGGGGGCTCATACAACTCTTATCACAATCCATCCATCCATTCATTGTGTCAAGCACATTTGTACATTTGTTGCCCTCATTATTCTCAAAACATTTTCTTTCTGCTTGAGCCCATGGTATCAGCTTCTCATTCCGCCCCGCCCTCATGAACCCTTGCTTATTTATAATTTTTTTTTTCATGTCTTACACTGATCAATGTTTCTTTTCAGCCACTTTTCTGTAGTCCATCCCCCTGGGTGGGGGTTATATGTAGATCCTTGTGATCGGATGCAAATTTGTTTCTCTGTCTTCCAGGACTAGCACAGAAATTGATCCTAGCTGTGCTACATTCATGATCTTGTTCCTTCACGCTATTTGTGTGTGTGTGTGTGTGCTGTACACTCAAAGATCATTTAAAGGGAATACCAGTTGAGTTCCTAGAGGATGCCCAATTTGTCATTTTGATATAGTGTAAATCCAAGAGCCAGAATTCTTCTGAGAAAGGTTATAGGGATGGTAAGACCATTTTCAGAACTGTACAGACCCAGGTGGAAGACAGTTTCACATTTTTTTTTTTTTTTTTTTTAAAAAGGGTTTTTTTGTTTTTTTGGCATTCTTTTTTGCTTTCCCTTTTTTTTTTTTTCTTTTTTTTGTAGATTCTATCATCTTGATTTGGAAATAGAGTTATTTTCAGAGGGGTTTTCACTGGGATTTATTACAAAGTGCCATGGAAACGTAAGTTTTTAAAGCAAAGACTAATGAGCATTGCTTGTTAAAATTCAGTCTTAATGAGACTCTCCTATGAAATGTAAATGGAGATTTAACACTCATATTTGAATAAGAGGCCTCCAGTTTAAAAACAATCCTGATTTCATCTCCTGAGACTGTAATGAAGATGCTTCTATCAAAATGTTCACCTCTCTGCGCTCCACATTTAGTTCTTTATCATAACAAGTTAGCTTTGTTCAGCTTTTCAATGTTTTATGAGTGATCAACTTTTTATGTATTATGGCCTGTATTATTATTATATATGAATTAAAGCTTCACAAATTTCATGTTCGCAGAATGTTTTATGTTGTGCAAATTAATAAATTTCATTGTCCCTTTCAAGCTAGAAGGGCCAAGGGACACATACCCAGACATGCATTCTGCTTCTAATCCTGTACTTGCATTATTCAAAAAAACTAGCAGTGAACATAATCTACATAAGTAGCTCTAATAGGAAGACTTACATCTCTATAGAAACTTGGAAAAAGAAGGGACACCCAGTGAGTGAAACCTGACTCAGTAAGTCATGATGCTCTTTCCCGTCGTCCCTGGCAACCAACCCTGACTGCAAAACCCAATTTGTTTTATTTTTATCAAGAAAACATCACTGTGATCACTTATCCTGAAAGATTTTAAATGAAACAAGGCAGGATGGGAAGCAAAAGTAAAAACATCTTTATCTCTGGAATCATGTTACTTTTCCAAACAGACTTCAAATGGATTAATGCGTTTGACTTCTCAGATTATCAACAAAACCTAGATGCACCTTATGTATTTTAAATTTGCAGATAAATGTTTTTATAGTGGCACAAATCCTTGTGAGGGAAGAAAAACTCACTTCTTGGGAAAATAAATATATGCTTTTTCCAGAAACCTAGGTCTATTTAGAAAATAATATAGATTAGTACACTACATACTGTTCTTTTTTTGGAAAGAACCACCTATCGATAAAGAATTAAATCCCATATCTCCAAAGAAAATAACCAGAAAAAAATCTTAAATTTGATATGAAAAATATAAAACTTTAGGGAACTCTTATCATGTACAAGATAAAAGCCAATAATTATACACCAGACATATTTAATGATTAGCATGATGTGTCAGCTTCCTTGAAGACCATCTGCCACGGCTAACTGAAACCAGAGATAATGTAATTGGTGATCTGTACTGCATCCTACACAAACTCTAAAGTAAGAACTGCTGTTTAAGCAACTCCTACGCCAATACACATCCCAAATGCTGACATTGCACACACAGTCTATATTTGGCCCATTAGACAACAGAGAATGGCAAACCTGGTCCACAATGTCGTTGACTTTATCCTGTTCGCAGTCCAGGATTACACGCCGTTCTTTTTTTAACTCCAGATCTTGAAAAAGCGATCGGTAGGTCTCGTCTTTCTTGTCGTTGTTAATGTTGCCCACGTTGATAGCCGTCACTTGCCATTTTTTCTCTGCAGCAGAATCCAGCACAGCTTGCAGCGTGGATAGGCCTGAGGAAGTTGAGAAAAGAGATGGCAGCTAAAGACACTTGACCCGCTCTGAAGCATGCTGTGAAGTGTCAGTGAACGTGCTTTCAAGGCCGATATTGTTGAGCAACGAGCAGGATGTTGAGGACTCACAACTGCAGCTCTCGTCTTTGTCAACGTCTGCTTATCCCGCTTCACATCAGAAAAGACGATTTCATTTTAATGACACTTTTCTGACTAAATGAATCTCTTTTTTTTTAAATAGGGAAAATAGTATCCTCCTCTTCCTGCCTCTCACTGTTGTCTCTTTTTGGATGGTACTGATGTCGTAATATCCTTAATAATGTTCA